CAATGACTCATATTTTATTTTGCTGATCATTCTCTTGCCACGAGTATTATATTCGTTCTGTGAATTTGATGCAAGAGTTATTTCCGGACGTGTGTTATATCAATTCGAATTAATTTTGGATTCTCGACTTCTGTGAATTGTGTACCGCAAATATATATAAGTGCTGTTGTTGGAATTATTTCATTGGATAAACTCATGATTACATGATGCTGGTGGCTTTATTTTAATATTAATGTTAATGATCATAAAATTGTTTTACTTTACGTGGATTCTTCGTAAGTTATTGAATGTCCAAATCATGCCAATTAATTGATGCTCATTATATGTAGTAAATTAATGTAATGATCGTTATCATAATAGCAAATATGTTTATGTGCCTATTTTGTATGGGAGAAAGATTTTATATAATAAGTGGTGGAATTATTGGATATAAATTATTTATGTTGTATAGCTCAATTTATGATCATCTTTGTAATATGGTTGGATGAGAAGATAAAATTGTGCAATTATGAAAATGATGGAGTATTATTTCAAAAATATTTATATCTATCCAAATATATAAGATTCGATTGAATACTAGTAGTCCCAGAAGAACACTAATATTAAACAAATATGGATATAATGATTATAACAATGCATCGGGTATCTATAAGATGGAAATCAATATTTCATTTATCGATAGCATGTAAGTTGACAATGAATTTCTTATATATTCCCTGAAGGATCTTCTATAAGTTAATAATAATGTTTTTATATATACTCCCCGATGGATCATCATCGACGTACGTATCTCCCATAAATTCAAAATAAAGTTTTGGTATACTCCCTGCAGTATCAACACCAATACAAGTATCAAAATAAAATAATGACTACACTGTGAGTAAGTCTTGATGACTAATTTTGAATTAAGATGATATTGAATATTTTATGATCTGTTATGAACAGTTTGTATTCCTGAAGTAATACATGAGAATAATGAAATCCAACCAAATCAATATTCATGGACACAATATATTACAAATAGTGATATAACAATAGTTTATTGAGATTGTATTAATGCCAGAAGCACATATATAAAAGTC